TTTATTAACAAAGTCCAAATTAACAAAACAGGAAGAACTACCAGGCATGGAATTCTCTTTGTAACACGGAATACTAGGAAACACAGAACAGGAAACTCACGAACTGCTACAGAACAAGGATCCAAACACAATGACACAACACAATGATCCAACAAGGGCAGAGTGAGGGAGAGGGGTATAGATACACAGGGAGCACCAGGTGACACAAGTGAGGTTAATTACAGACAGGTGAGTGTGATCAGACAGATTACCCCACAAAGCAGACAGCAGGAAAAGGAAACAGACAGACATGACAGAGGGGGCGTTAACTACACTGGGAGTAGGTGTGAACAGTGAATCAACAACATCCTCAGACACAGACTTTCGGAGGAAATGACACTTCGTCATCTCTTTCGCGATGGAAAGAGCAACTCACTGCTCCCTGATCACAGTGCAAGTGCCGAGGAAAGCCATAGACACAGTAAAAGTTGTCCCACAGTTTCTTGGCTACTCTCTTGGCAGCTTGAAGGAAACGCATGTGCAAGCCTGGTGAAATGATCTGGTGAAATGATCTGTCAAAACATCAGCAGACTTGTTGTCACTACCCTCAGCTGACCAGAAGTCTACACACACAAGTTCCAGAGGAGCAGTGGTCTTAATGCTCTCTAGTGGGGCTCTGGCAGACGGTTCGGGGGTTTTACTGAGGACACACCTCTGACAACACCTCACATGGTTGCGCACATCTTTCTCCATGTCATGCCAGAAAAAGCGCTGGCGAGCCAGTGAGAGTGTGCGGGGCTGACCCTGATGAATACTTGACAAGGCTTCCGCCTTCAGTGAATCAGGTACAACAAACTGAAACTTCTTATACTTCGACATAGGGTCCTTCGTGACCCTGTAGAGGATACCATTCAACAATGTCAATTTATACCATTCCCTGAGGATCCTCATAGTCGACTGACTCTCATTGTAGCGTTCACATCTGGAGGGCCTGCGTTTCCGCTCAACATAATAACAGACCCT